TTCTGTGTTAGCTTTATACCCAGTTTCCCTTTTCCCTTCAGATCTACAAAAAAAAAAAAAAAATCCTTGGATTGTAGTTTAACAGGTATCCTATTCCTAAACCAATAGTTCTTATATGGGTGGGGGTTAGAGGGAGTCAGTGTGTGGTATAAATAGATGAGCACATCTTGGGACACATGACCCTTAGCAACCAGGGTCAGCTTCATCCAAACCACAAGCACTTTGAGTGGGTGTGTGATGGGTCAATCTAGAGGCTGGCTTTGGAAGAGGGAGCAGGTATTGAGTCGACCCAATCATATCTGCTGTATCTATGCCGGGCTGAGCCTCACACTGGATACCTGAGGTCAGACACTCACTTGCAAAAAAACCACAATCCCAACCCTCAAGTTGCTTGCAGGCAAGAAGGATAATGGACAGCAGAGTAGTGCATGCATTGCAAGAGGCACACGAGTGCCACAGTCCGGCTGGCTGGGCAAAATAGCTGGGGGGGTGACGAACAACTTGTATACGTTGATACAGCAGGAGTGGGAACCGTTTATTGCAGGACAGGAGCAGTATTTATACATTCCACACAGCTTATCTAATTAACATAAACCAGATACATCAGTCAACCAATAAGGAATCTCCACACTTAATGGCTCGCTTTTGTTACTTCTCAAACCACTCCCTCTGGCATTTTGCCAGGCACCATCCAGACTTGTTTACGAACTCTAACATTCCCCTGGCAAAATGCCAGGTGTTATTTTGACTTGTTTACAGACTCTAACACACGGGAGGCACCCTCACAGGAAGCCAGTGACTCCTGGTGTGAGTCATTTGAAGAACAGTAATGATTCCTGGTCATCTGAGGCAAAGGGTACTGGATGGGAATTCTGGGAAGTGAAATAGGAAAATTGGGTAGAAATAAACAATCAGGAATGTGGTTTAGAACCATGCAAGATGGACTGGAGAGAGGTCAGCTAGGAGATTTTTCTAGAATCCAAGAGAGAAATATGCATACCAAGACTACCGTGAGTCTCCCATGGCTAGATGTCTGGGCCACCATCTGGTCTTTTGCCATCACATAGTATGTCTTTAATGTCCCCAGCTAGGTTATCAGCTCCACCAGGGTAGAAACTCTCGCTGTATTGGACTTCCTCCACTGAGCATCTTGCTTTCTTTTCTTTTCCCTCTTTTATCTATGATTTATTATTTTTGTTATTTCCTCAATTTTATCTTTCATCCATTCTATAAATCATTTTAATATACCAGGCAATTTAGCTCTACAAAAAACAGAGTCTTTTATTACAATTTTAATGTTATCTAAGGCAATTTAACTCCATGGGAAAAAAAATTCATTACAAGACAGGTAATGTACTCTTAGTATATATGTGCTTCATCTGTGAATTGTTTTATAAAAGCACATAATATAAATTTTGAATATTGATTTAGTTAGACTTATGTTAATAAGAGATTTCTAAGAGAAGAAAATTGTGTATATACGTGTGTGTGTGTGTGTGTGTGTGTGTTGGAGACATATCACTAGAAAGTCATTAGAAAAATTGTAACAGTAATAATTTAAGCTTTCTTGTTTTTTAGAAATAGGAAGGTAATTAGCAGAAGAAACAGCTAAAAGTTTTGAAAGGAATTGCCTCTTGGAAATAGAATTTTGGAGCAAGAAAATGACTTGTGACAATTATTTGATTTTTTTAAATTAGTTATTTAAAAATGTGTTTAGTTGTTTTTAAATAGATAATATGTTCCTATGGGTCAAAATTCAAAAGGTGCAAAAAAAAAAAAAGAATTAATCGTAAAATGTCTATGCTATTTTATTCCCCTTCCAAGATAAACTAACATCATTTTCTTGTATAAATTTCCAGGAGAATTTTATATTTATTCAAGCCATATGTATTATTCTGACAAAAGTAGAATTTTAAAAAGATTTTATAACAGAAAAAGTTTCAGCAACTTGAAAAAGACCACTCTGTAGATTGCTCCTGATTAGATTGTCTTCTTCTTTCTCCCCTCCCCAAGCCTAACACTGGGAGTCTGGTCCTTGTCCTGTGTGTGTGTGTGTGTGTGTGTGTGTGTGTGTGTGTGTGTTGCATGCTCAAGCAGGCAAGCAGTCTACCACTGAGCTACACCCTCAGCCCTGACCCTTGCTGACTGGGCATTCTTGTCTCTGAGCCCCACTGACCTCCTAGGAATGCAAGGAGGAAAAAAATTCAGTCACTGAGGTGAAAGTACATAGCACAATGCCTTACTGACATGCTCTTCCTGACTTGGAACCCTTGAGCAATTGGCTGGCTTGCAAAACACAAGGCTCCTTATCAGAAAATTCTCAGCCAGGACCTAGGCTTCTCTGGATACCCCAGGTAGCACAGAACATTTCAATCTTCCTCATAATTCTTATGCGTTCCTGTAATAGGATCAGATAGCAAGCAGTTCCTGTAGTGCATGATGAGTCACTTAAGAAGATTTCTGGCTTTCCCAGAACACAGGTAACAAACACCTTGGCCTGAGGCTGAGGTCCTCCTGTGCTTGGAGTAAGGCTGGGGCAGCCAGGGCAACTGTCTTTTGTTTGGGCCAAAGCATAAAGATCCCGAAATCTGGGGAGAGTGATTAGGAGTGGGAGATGCCCTCAGCCAGTGATCAGAAGTGCAAGAGCTTACAATCAGATTCCTAGCTTCTTTCTAACCCTTGAGTCCTTCAACTAAAAACTGAAATCATAATGCCTGCCTTAGGGTCTGTCAGTTAAGTCAAGGATCTGTAAAGTACTTGTTGGCAAATAAGAGTTCCCTTCCTTTCTGGTACCTAATCTCAGGGGAGCCTGCCATCCATCAGCCAGCAGCCCAGGAGTGTTGGTAATGGGTGCAGAGCAGATGGGTGGCCACTCGCCCTGTCTGCCAGGTTTTCCAGCTTGGGTGTGGGGTACAGGAAGCAGCTCTGGGTTCATCAGATAACAGAGCTGTTGAGTGTCCTTTACCCATTCCTGGGGCCTCCTGATGAAGAGAAGGAGCAGAGATGGGACCTACACATAGTTTAAAGTCCAGTTTCTCTTGGTGGTGATATGGATACAGAAGCAGGTTTGGTGAGAAGCAGACACTACAAAAGCGATGAGGAGATTTCCAGGCCTTCCCTTCCAATGTTATCTTCAAGCCTGGAGATAACTGCAGGAACAATAAGTGCACAGAGCAGGAAACTCTGGGACCTTGGGGTATGTGAGCTGGGCCTAGTGTTTCACCTGTAGGACAAGTTTGATAGTCTAAAGATCTACTAATGGGACCAGGGGTAAGTGGTTGTTAGAAGTGGGCCTGAGAGATGCTGGGATTCAAGGAATAGGTATCTTAGGGGGTCTCATAAACTTGGAGGCTTCCCATGGAGAAGGGCTTCTTCTTCTCTGGACGAAACTGAACTCAATACTAGAATAGTAATAGTAACATGAGATTGTGTATGATACTTACCAAGCCCTCTCCTCAAAGGTGTTTGTGGCACTGACCTTTACAATATAAGAAGTTAAATGCTGCCATCCCCCCATTTTATAGAGAAAGAGATTGGGCCTCAGAGAAGTCAAGACACTTGCTCCAAGTTTTACAGCTCCTGAGTGGCAGTGCTTGGATTAAAATTTGACCCTCTTTCCTCCATCTATCAAGAGAGCCCATCTGTTTAAATCCATTTGGAAAAATACTCAGCTCAGGCTAGGGACAGGGCAACTTTGTTCCCACCCCTAGAGACCTTCCTGTGTGGGAACTATCTCCCCTATGGGGCTCTGATCCAGTCTCCCTCCTGCTTTCTCAGGCCTGAGGCACCTCCAATGGATTTGTGATCAGCTTGGGCAGCTCTCCCAGCAGCCCTGGACAGCAGTGAGTACCCCCAGTAGGGAAGGGGCAAGCAGCCCTTCAGGGGCGTCTTCTGCTCCACCTCTGCTTCTCTAGCTCTTCCTGCCTCCTCCTTAACTGGTCTCTTCTGAAAACACACATGGCTCCCATAGGATCCTCTCATTTTGGAGCCTGGGCTACATTTAGCACCTGGAAGGGGTGATGGGAACAGTTGGTGTTCTTTGTTCATTCTACTTATTTTTACCCCGCACCTCCCCACCTTTTTTTTTTTTTTTTTTTTTTGCAATGCTGGGAATCAAATCCATGGCCTCCCACCTACCAGGCAAGCACTCTCCCACTGAGCCACATCCACAGGCCTTTGTACACTTTTTACTAACAACAGTATACTTGCTTGTTAATAAAAATCATACAGCACAGAAGCACCCTTTCTAGGACTCACCCTAGAAAGTTTGAGTCCTCAGTTATAGGGGTTACTACATGATCCCTCTCCCCATGCTGGTTCCAATCATATCCCCAAGCCCTAAGAGCCAGGTACCAATATTATCCCCCTTTTACAGATGGGTAGGCTTAGTCACAGAGAGGTTAAATGTTTTGTGGAAGATCACAGGGTAGAAAGTGGAAGAGCCAGGATTCAACCTGAAGGAGACTTTTAGTGCACTGGTGTGCCAAATGGCATCAAGCTCTTTAGTTAAGCCACCTAAAAAATGCTTTCCTAAGAGGAGTTCTTAAGCAAAATTCAGGAATTTTGTTTTAAAACACATTGAAAAAAATCTCTCTCTCTCTCTCTCTCTCTCTCTCTCTCTCTCTCTCTCTATATATATATATATATATATATATATACATACACACACACACATATATATCCTTTTCTAGATAGATAGTCCAAGCTATGTAGACAAGTGGATAGAGAAGGAGAAATAGATTTTCCACAGTATTATGCCACTAGATTTTAGCTGTCAGCCTAGACTCGTTCATGGCTTGAATGGCTTGTATTTTAATTTCACATTCCCAGGAGAGCGCTGGACTGAGACCAGCCTTGGGAGCCCTCGTTCTGTCCAATCGGGTCGGGTGGTTCAGTCTTGAGGCTACTGCCAACCCACAACTGGACAGTAGTTTGGACGTGGGATTGGGCGTCTGTGCCACGTTCCCTAACCTTGGCGCTCGGCTCTCGCAGGCCCAGGCATGCGGCTACCGCGCGTCTCCGGCACTGTAGTGACTGCACTCCTGCTGGCGCAGACCTGCCTTCTGCTCTTCCTGGTCTCCCGACAAGGACCGTGGTACCCAGCCGGCGGCAAGCAGCGTGTGCACGTGTTGGTGTTGTCCTCTTGGCGCTCAGGCTCATCCTTCGTGGGCCAGCTCTTCAGCCAGCATCCAGACGTGTTCTACCTGATGGAGCCCGCGTGGCACGTCTGGGCTGCCCTGTCGCAGGGCAGTGCTCCAGCGCTGCACATGGCTGTTCGCGATCTGGTGCGCTCTGTCTTCCTGTGCGACATGGACGTGTTCGACGCCTACCTGCCGTGGCGCCGCAACCTGTCAGACCTCTTCCAGTGGGCGGTGAGCCGCGCGCTGTGCTCGCCCCCCGCCTGCAACGCCTTCAGTCGCGACGCCATCAGCAGTGAGGCTGTGTGCAAGCCACTGTGCGCGCGGCGGCCCTTCGGCCTGGCCCAGGAGGCCTGCCGCTCCTATAGCCACGTGGTGCTCAAGGAGGTGCGCTTTTTTAACCTGCAGGTACTTTACCCGCTACTCAACGACCCAGCGCTCAACCTACGCATCGTGCACCTGGTGCGCGATCCAAGGGCGGTGCTGCGCTCCCGAGAGCAGACCGCCAAGGCGTTGGCGCGCGATAATGGCATAGTGCTGGGCACCAACGGCACGTGGGTGGAGGCCGACCCCCGCTTGCGCGTGGTGAGCGAGGTGTGTCGCAGCCACGTGCGCATAGCTGAGGCCGCCCTGCACAAGCCGCCGCCCTTCCTGCAGGGTCGCTACCTCCTGGTGCGCTTCGAGGACCTGGCGAGGGAGCCGCTGCGCGAGATCCGCGCACTCTACGCCTTCACCGGCCTGAGCCTTACGCCGCAGCTCGAGTCCTGGATTCACAATATCACGCACGGGTCGGGGCCCGGTGCGCGCCGAGAGGCCTTCAAGACCACGTCTAGGGATGCACACAACGTCTCCCAGGCCTGGCGCCACTCGCTGCCCTTCAGCAAGATTCGGCGCGTGCAGGAGCTGTGCGCCGGCGCCCTGCAGCTGCTGGGCTACCGGCCCGTGTACTCTGAGGATGAGCAGCGTGACCTTAACCTGGACCTCGTGGTGCCTCGCGGCCCGAGCAGCTTCAGGTGGGCGTCGCCCACCGATGAGCACTCCAAGCCTTAGCGGAGGACCCTAGTTGCGACAGTAGTTTGGGTGCCGGAGGAGCGTGTAAGAAAGAGACGTGGACAGGCGCATCGCATGGGAAAGTAGAGTCAGCCACCAGAGAAGCAGGGAGAGTCCAGGATTCTCCCCTGTACTAGGAAAGGACCAAGTCTTTCTCCCCGATTCTCGGCTTTCTTTCCTTTGAGCCCTCTTCAGGAGCTGATTTCCCTACACGTATGCTCTTCACGGAAAGCAAAACTCTCATCCCACTTCCCTTGGGCACTACTCAAGCATTTTCTTTCCCCTTGATTCTTTTCTCCCTTGGGACGCTCTACGCAGTAGTTGAGAAGGACGTCTAGCTCTGGCTGGGAATGGAGGGGCACAGCAGTGAGCTGGCTCCTGAAGTTTGTACATCATCTCGTGTTGCCTCCCCCATATGCACCCTGGACTCCGTTCCCCGCGCCTTCTGCACCATACTTCATCAAAGCCACAGGTTATTGTCACCTGTATCTTTAGTGAGAAATCAGAGAAGATGCCTCTGTCTTGTGGTCTTCCATCAGTGTCTGTCTGCCCCATCTCCCAGGAGCCCACACCCCTCCCCATCACCCTGCTCAGGTACGATGAACCTTTGATTTGCCCTGAGAGGAGAAATCCAACTTATGAAAATAAACGATAATTAACCTGTGTGATACAGATTAGAGTTTGCAGCCCATGAAGTAAAGAGACTTGTCCAAGGTCATCTGGTGAGAAAAGAGGAGGAAGCAGGGAGGGGGATTTTGCTCTGGAACTGCAGTAGGGAAAAAAGCTACGAATCAGGCTTGCACAGACCTGTCTCCTATCAAAAGGGTGGATCTTCTCCCCGTTTTATTTCCTTTAGGAAAAAGCAAGCAGTGTCACCGCCAGAGACACAACTGTGGTGTATAAGAGGTGTTGAATTCTGGGCCAGAGAGAAATTTGGATAAGCCTGGAGGGAGGCAGTGAGGAGGAAAGGAGTGGGGAGATGGCTGGGCAGCAAGCCAGGTAAAGTGGATGGCAGAGTAAGAGGTTGGCAGCAGGATCCGTGCCTGGAAGGCAGGTGGGGCAGCTCATGGGGTGAATGTAACTAATAGGGCTTGCCAGGAGCTTGGAAGGCAGAAAGGCTTTGGGGGTGATTCTATCTTCCCTTGGTCTTTCCAGGTCAAGCCCTAGAGGAGGAAAGATTAAGATTCCTGCCTTTAAGCCACAACACGTAACTCTGGCAGCTAAAGGCTTATTAAAAAGATACTAGGTATGCAGAAGACTTAGTACTGAGCTCAGGAAATAGGAGGCAATAAGTGCTCTGTAAATGCTTAAAGGGAAAAAAAAAAGTTCACAGAACCTCTAGGAACAAGGAAATAGATTTGAGTTCACACAAAACACTAAATCACACTGGGGCTCCAGTACGTGCTGGCATACACCTGTTATCCCAGGTACTGGGAAGCCTAAGGCAGTTGGATTGCAAGTTCCAGGTGAGCCTAAGCAACTTATCAAGACCTTATCTCAATATAAAAAAATAAAAGGGGCTGGAAATGTGGGTCAATTTCAGAGTTCTCCTGGGTTCAAACCCCGTACCACACACATCACACTGAAGCACACAGTTGGTCTGGAATCTCTGATGGTTGCCACCAATCATTGTTGCTGTCAGTCACCAGAAGGAATTCTGGGGGTCCCTGACTCCTGATTGTCATCTTAGATGTAACCTTAGATTGGTGGGGCAAAGAGGAGCTGACATTTTTTGCTTCTTTATTTGGAGAGAGCAGAGATATTGACGTCAAAGCTGATACCTCAGGACCCTTCCAGTTTTAGAAGCGTCAGGTCACATAAAGCCTGGATCTGCTGCTGTTGACAATAGTGTGGGAAGGCATTTAAGACCTCAGATTAATGGAGATTCTATAACTTACAAAATGTCTTAGTCCATTTGGGCAGCTATGATAAACTACCTTAAGTTGAGTAACTTATAAACAACAGAAATAAATTTGTCACAGTTTGGAGGATGGAAGTCCAAGATTAAGGTGCTGGCAGGGTCTGCTGAGGCCCCACTTCCTCACAGATGGTGCCTTCTAGCTCTGTCCTCACCAAGTGGGAGGGTCAGGGCAGCTCTCTGGGGCCTGCCTCAAAATAAAAAGGCCTGGGGAAGACACTCAGGAGCAGAGCACCCCTCGTTCAATCCATACAGCTGGCCTGTAAACTGATGCTTGCCACCAGTCATCCAAAGTGATTCTAAACCAAATCATGAGGGCGTCACAATCTTGGTCCCTCTAATTACCTCCTGAAGTCCCCTCCTCCTAATGCCCACTTTAGGAGTGAGGATTTCAACCCAAATATTTGGGGGAGACACAATTCACACGCTAGCAGAAAGGCTAGGATCACATAGCTTAGCATATGGGCTGGCATTCAAACTCATCTCTTTGACTTCAGTGCTAATAGTCCTAACAAGGAAACCACATTAAGAATGAAGGTGGACCTTCATTCCAAAGAACCTCACCACAGGCTCAGAAAGCCAGATCATTTGCCCCTGCCACAGATCACTGGAGGTCAGGGAGTCATCCTGGCATTTGGTTACAAAAATCTCAAGGACCAGAATGTCAAGAGGTATGGTAGACAGTTGGCTGGGGCATCGGGGACCCTGCTTCTGGTCCCTTTCCTGCCGGTATGTCCATACCCAAACTACCTTCCCTCTCTGCTGACCACTGAAGACAAAAGCAACCTGCTGGCCCTTCCTATAAGGAGTCCAGTGTCAAGAGGAGGAATCAGCCTAGGAACAGACAGTCCCAGTTACTGTGGAATGTTAAGGCAAAGAAGGATGAGCAAAGAGGTTCACGATGCCAGAGGCTAAGAACGAGGAGACACTGATCTCTAGTGGAGTTCAAGAAGTTTTGGTGGGGAGCTTAGAACCCAGTCTGACATGGCATCTGACAAATTTCATTTGCTCCTGCTCAGGTCACAGATTCTGTTGATGGTCACAATTAATGGCCTATGCTGTTCCACGCACTTTGCCATATGGTCATCCATTCTTTTCTGACTCCCAAGGTGCCAGGACAGAGATGACTGGCTCCCAGTTGCTCCCAGTTGGCTCCCTGTACGTGGAGCACTGCAGGTAAGGCTCAGGTGAGCCCTGATCTCTGTGAGAGGCTCCAGTAGCTCTGTGTCTTCTCCTGAACTCTGGACAAGCTTGATAAAGGCCCAGGGCTCCCTGCACAGCAGGCACTCAAGACAAGCCTCAGGGTGAACCCAGATCAGACTCAGGACAAAGGAGAGGGGAGTGCCCAAGGGGGAACAGTAAAGCCTAAGTTTGGTTTGGGATCCCGGGGAGACAGATTCTTGTGTTACTGGCTAAATATGCCTTGCTTCTACAAGAATACCTTGGGGGACAGAGAAGAATGGATGAGTCATACAGCAAAGCATGTGGAACACACAGAGGCCACTAATTGCAGCCATCAAAAGAATCTGTGACCCAAGCAGGAGCAAATGAAACTTGTAGAATGCCAATGTCATCCTGGCCTCTGAGCATAACACACACACAAACACACACACACACACACACAGAGGAAAGCCCTGTCACTGAAGTCTGTGATGAACAAAGCCCTCTGGGTTGACTTAGAAATGACTGTTTTTTCTTTCTTCTTCTTCTTTTTAAAAAATCAGGTATCAGGGATTGAACCACTGAGTCACCTCCCCAGCCCTTTTTGTTTTGAGACAGGATCTCCCTAAGATTGCTTAGGACCTTGCTAGTTCTTGATAAGGCTGGCCTTGAACTTGCTATCTTCCTGCCTCAGCCTCCTTTCCTGGCCTCTAAATCTGGGCTGGTCCTGTGATTCACTTTGGCCAGCAGAATGTAGCCTAGGAAATGGTGCACCAGTTCCAGCTTTGGCCTTGTAGGGGAGGCAAAACGGTACCTTTATCCATCATAGATTTTTAGCTGGGGCTCTTTAACAAAAAGAAAAATTAACAAGAGGGGCTGGGGCTGGGGCTCAGTGGTAGAGTGCTTGTCTTGTATGTGTGAGGCACTGGGTTCAATTCTCAGCACCATAAAAAAATAAATAAATAAAATAAAGGTATTGTGGCCATCTACAACTAAAAAAAAACAAATAAAAAAGAAAGATTAAGAAAAAAACAGCTCACTAATGAATGAATTCATAAATCATATCAGAGAAAGAAAAATAACTCAAAGCAGTGGCTTCAAACTTCAGCTCATATGGCAGCTTCAAAATGAACAATACATTTGTAGAGAAATGACAGGACAAAGGAAAGCAGTTTTAGGCTTCCCAGGGCAGTGAAGCAAGGAAGATAAATTTACAAGACATAAGTGATAGGGTAGACTTGTTTGTAGATTGTGCTCTTGCCAACTCTGGGTTGATAAGAGTTTATAGTTGTCTCCTCTAAAGAATTTATATCCTGCCTACCAGCAGCAAAGGTGGAGGGCAAAGGAAGCTTTTTTGCTGTACTTGTTGCTTTTTAGGTGCCTTCAGCTTAGAATTAATTTTTATGTAAAAGAGCCACATTTTCAGGTGGCATATTTTGCTTGCTTTCTGTCACAAGAGGAGTCCAAGGCAGTCCCTCCAAGTGGCACAGGATCTCAACTCCAACTGGGCATGTTCTTGATTTATGCTGCTGAAAAGAATTTTGTGTTGAAACAAAGCACAAAGCTGGGCACAGTGATGCACCCTGTAATCCCAGAGACTCGGGAGACTGAGGCAGGAGGATGGCAAGTTCAAGGCTAGCCTCAGCAACTTAGTGAGACGGTCTCAAAATAAAAAATAAAAAGGTCTGAGGATGTGGCTCTTGGTTAAGTGCCCCTGGGTCCAATCCCTAGTACAAAAAAGAAAAAGAAAAGAGCAAACAAGAAAGCCACAAGCAAAGACTTATTAAAGGACAGCAAAGCAAAAGCATGCATCCCCCAAAGCAGGGTGCTACTGGCTCTCAGAGGAGAAGATCAGTAACACACCCAGGGGTGGACTCTCTCATTATATATAAGATTTTCCTGGGAAGAAAAGCACAGGTTC